AGCCTCTTCTTCTCCGAGCTCTGGCAGTCTAAGGACCCGTGATGTCACCACATCTAACACAGGTCTATTGGATGTGAAGGTGTTGAGGGACATGCCACAGCCGGAGCGGAGGGGTAGAGAGGTGAGTGATCACTGCTGCAGGATCGAGGATGGGGTGTTTCTTTTTTAGTTTCTTCCCTAGACCAAAACGAGCAGTGCAGGGGGCAGCCCCACAACAAGGGTAAATCAAAGTTCTGCCCGGAGTTCTTCTTTACATAAAACCATGTGACGCATTGAAAGAAAACACAAATACAGCTGGAAAGGTAAAAACAATATAAAACCAGTTTCAATTCTCAGATCTATTTTCTCACCACGTATATAGCGGAGGGGCAGAAAAATGTCAACACCACCAGCATGTGGGCTCACGCAGCACCCCAGTCCAAACAGAACTATAGTGCATGAAACTAAAGCAATGGAATAAAAAATGAAGAAGAACAAAATCAGCGCTGACAAAGCTTGGAGACGAGGAGATACATTGAGGAAAGCGGTGTATTGAATTCCACCTTCTCTGGAACACGAAGCCCCCCATTCACACCTGTGCACCGGGGGAATGGACGCAAACATTCACATAGCACAAGAAACGACGCGCTGCGGTGCCATTCATTCATTTTTATGGCGTTTGCATGAATAACAACGGTAAAACAAAAGAACAATTCCCTAACAACAACAACAACAGGGGTCAAGGCACAAATATATCTGTGGCATGACAACACAAGTGGCTCATGGCAACATCATGTAACCAATGGGGTTCATAGCAAGAGAGCGCTTACTTATATGTTTTAAGCAATACACAAATGTATACAGCATAAGGCACAAATTAGGGGTGCGCCGATACTGGTACTGGTGCCGATACCGAGTACTCACCCAAAAGCTCCGATACTTACCCCCGATACCGGAACGTCCAGTCAGAGGGAGATTCCTTCTGACCGGCAGTGCCACGAGGGAACATACAGCCGGCTTCCCGGCCAATCAGGAACCCGGCTTAACTTGTTGCAAGTCAGTCATGACTCGCCTCCCGATTGGCTAGGAAGCCGGCATCACTTGTTGCTAGGCAGCTTTGCGTCCTGACCAATCAAGAAGCTGGGCGGCACATCATGACCTGCCTCCCGGCTTCATGATTGGCTGGGAAGCTGGCTTCACTTGTTGCTAGGCAGCCTGGCTTCCTGACCAATCAGGAACCCGGCTGGCACATCATGACCAAAAAAAATTATCAGTGCTCGTACTCGATACTAAAAAAAAAACAGAATCGGTGCATCCCTAGCACAAATAAATCATATCATGGCGGAGAGTCAGATATGGTGTGAGAGGAGATTTTCTCAAAAAGAACAGGGGACCTTCATTCTTAATGGAACCCCAAACACGCCTGCCCACGCACGCAAATCTTTGTGCAGCAAAATGTGTGGTACAAAAGTACCATGAGGGGAAGTTATCAAAACTGGAGCAGACAAAATCTGGAGCAGCTGTGCATGGCAACCAATCAGCTTCTCTGTCTCATTTTCAAATCTTAACTGAACAAACTGAAGAGAGATGCTGATTGGTTGCCATGGGCAACTGCTCCAGATTCTGTCTGCTCCAGTTTTGATAAATTCCCCTCACTGTGTTTTAAGGTAGTGCATTTTAAAAAAAGAAAACAAAATGCACACACCTCTTTGGCACAAATGTTGAGTGATGTCCGGCCCACTGAAATGAATGGGCTAGCTAAACGTATGACACCTCAACGTGTGTAACACATGCAGACGCGCGTGAAGAAGGGCTTACATAAAAGCTGATGTTAATGACTTATGTCAAAGCTAGTGTGTCAGGAGCGGGGACTTGCCATTGACGGGGTCTGTATGTTTACACTGTGAAAGATATTGTACAGTCATTGGGAAGCCTTTCCATTGATGTGCTGATTGAATGACAAAGCCCAATGTAGAGATGATTGAAAAGACGCCAAGTGTGAGAACCTACAAGATCCAGCCAGGACACATTTCTGGTGTTGTGTATGTAGTCAGAAGCCACCGCTCCAAGCTCACTTCCGTGGTGGACTACGATCTCAATACAAATTAATAATCTAACCATGAGATTGTAGTCCATCACAGGATCAAGCTTGGAGCGGTGACTACTTTACAACACACACAAGGCCCATGGGGAACAAATGTAGCCACCCTTCCAGAAGGAAGGACAGTGTCAGCACCAATTCAGAGATGATTTGAGGATCTACAGCCGAGTGATACACAAATAAGATACATTTATGTTAATAGGTAAGGTTCTTTAATGATGTGACTCCTGAGTTTAGTGACACTTGAAGGGCTCATGCATATGGGTGGCTGAACATGTACAGCAATGTCAATTCCAGCAGTCCATGGTTCTTCGCTGGTATATGCCAGACTTGGGTACACAGACTTGGGTACACAGACTGTCCACCTTTGGGTGTTACACAATTCCGGTGTATACCAGCGTACAGCCATTGACTTCTATGAGAGGCTGTATACAGCACCTGAGGCTTTCTAGCTGAGGACATTTGCATTTTACAGGCTCAGCCGCCCACATGCATGAGCATAAGGCAATATTAAGGGCTAATAATCACGTGAAAAGATCAGTTTCCCAAAACAGCCAATCAGATAGCAGGGTTCTCACTGGTTGCTAAGGGTTACGGTACTTCGATCTTTTAAATGAATCCAACAGCATTCCATATCCACATGAATCAGAGGAGGCTTTATTGGCCGTCATCTGGCAACCTAACTGTAACACAACCTCTACTGCCACCAGTGAATATACGCAATTAAAATTACGAGCTGCTTTATAAGTGCTGAGTTGCTGTACCGCACCCCTTTGTGTGCACCTTTTTTATTTAAGGTCTTACTTGAACTTCCCAAATTCTATTGTGAACCATGGTAGTGAAATAATCAGCTATGCAAATACTGTATATTATCCCGTTCCATTATTCCTCTCCAGACTTCTAAAATATTATTGGAGCCCAATGAGAACAAATGTTGGGATATGGCTGGTTGTCATGACATACCTGTACAGTGTGATCTATAATAATCTATAGAATGCCATGGATCTAGAATTCCCTCATCAAGTCAAATCTGAACATTCCCCAGCATTGTTGTGTACTAAAGGACAGATGTTTTGTTTTTGTTTTTATATTGTATGTATGTGTTGGCATGCAAAATGAATGGCAGTGAACATATGCCGCACATATACCACACATTGAGGTTTGCATGCATCGGTTTTAATGCAGCCTCACAGAAATCACAAATAATGAGCCATAAAGTGCTAAACCCACCATATACAATATAATTTATAGTCACGTCATCTTAGGGCTTGTTCACCCAAGATGCACTGGGAGCCTTTTCCAGCTCAGTCCCAATGGAAACACAAGGCAAATGTCCTTGTTTACAATCAGCCCAGTGCACACCACTGCATGTATGCAGTACTTTTCTCTGTGCAGCACGGTGCGGTGACGTACAACTGCATCACACTGCACAGTGGCTGTTAGAACTGAACGTAATGTCACTCCTAGCAAAAAGGTAAACAGTGCCCTGACTGGCGCATCAGCACTATTTCTGCTAGTGCACACCAGCTGCCGTGCGCTTGCTGCAGCTTGCTGGTGTAAACAGACCCTAAATGCAGCTATGCAAGTTTGTAAAGGAAGGAAGGGGGAAAAAATAATAATCACGGTGCAAAGTGTGGTACCGTAATTGTTTTCCAGTAGTGAGATCTGATTGGCTGCTCTCAGATACAGCACCTGGCACATCTCAACTTTAAACAAGCCTATTGTGATTACAACCAGCTGCAAGGCCAAGGAACAAGCAGCCAGTGCTCATACCCTGGCATGGAACAAGCAGCCAGTGCTCATACCCGGGCATGGAACAAGCAGCCAGTGCTCATACCCTGCCATGGAACAAGCAGCCAGTGATCATACCCTGGCACGGAACAAGCAGCCAGTGCTCATACCCTGGCATGGAACAAGCAGCCAGTGCTCATACCCTGGCATGGAACAAGCAGCCAGTGCTCATACCCAGCCAGTGCTCATACCCGGGCATGGAACAAGCAGCCAGTGCTCATACCCTGCCATGGAACAAGCAGCCAGTGATCATACCCTGGCACGGAACAAGCAGCCAGTGCTCATACCCTGGCATGGTACAAGCAGCCAGTGCTCATACCCTGGCACGGAACAAGCAGCCAGTGCTCATACCCTGGCACGGAACAAGCAGCCAGTGCTCATACCCTGGCACGGAACAAGCAGCCAGTGCTCATACCCTGGCACGGAACAAGCAGCCAGTGCTCATACCCTGGCATGGAACAAGCAGCCAGTGCTCATACCCTGGCATGGAACAAGCAGCCAGTGCTCATACCCTGGCATGAAGCAAGCAGCCGGTATCCATACCCTGGCATGCAGCAAGCAGCCGGTATCCATACCCTTGCATGCAGCAAGCAGCCGGTATCCATACCCTGGAATGCCCAAGCAGTAGGTACACATACCCTGACATAGAGCAAGCAGCAGGTACACATACCCTGACATGGAGCAAGCAGCAGGTACACATACCCTGACATGCAGCAAGTACTCATACCCTGACATGGAGCAAGCAGCAGGTACTCATACCCTGACATGCAGCAGGTACTCATACCCTGACATGCAGCAGGTACCCATACCCTGACATGCAGCAGGTACCCATACCCTGGCATGCAGCAGGTACCCATACCCTGACATGCAGCAGGTACCCATACCCTGACATGCAGCAAGCAGCCTGATGCCTATACCTTGGCATTGGGTAAGGTGCAACCAACAAACATTCTCCAACAGCACTGATCTAACAACTGTACCCTTCCTGATCCCACACCTTGCACATCCCAAGCTGCAAACCATCCCAGAGGCAAGGCCTGGACCACCATCAGCAGTCAGTGGGCACACGCCATAGGCAGCCTGACCCAGCAGAGAGGGCACAGGGGGGAAAGGGTGGCACTCTACTCACTATTGCTCCAGGATTTCAGCAGATATTTGATGCTGATCTCAAAGAAGCCCGAGTCCTGCTGGCTGGCCATGTCTTCCCGGGCAGGTGGAGGCACGGTGCACCAGCCTAGAGGTCAGCAGAGGAAATGAAGTCTGCGGATCTCTTCCTCTCCTTCCTGCTAGGTATTCCTCATTAAAAAGACATGAGATGCTCGTCCTCCTCCTCCTCCTCCTTCACCCCGGTCAGATCGCTTCTCCTTCACTGCAGACTGTCAATGGCTGCTCGGAGCATGGCAGGGCACGGCTCGGCTCGTTCCCCGGGTGTTCGATGCAGGATGGAGCTCATCCAGGGCGCCCGGCTGCTGCGGCCATAGAGAGATGTCATCAGCCTTCTATAGAGTACATGTGATCAGCCTCTTATTAATCAGATGTGATCAGCCTCCCATCGATCAGATGTGATCAGACTCCTATAGAGTAGATGTGACCAGCTTCCAATGGAGTAGACGTGATCAGCTTCCTATAGAGTAGATGTGATCAGCCTCCTATAGAGTAGATGTGATGAGCCTCCGATTGATGTGATCAGCCTCCCATAGAGTAGATGTGATTAGCCTCCTATCCAGCTACATCATGCTGCGGTAAGACGAAGCTGCGCCCTCCGATGTGCTGCCAGTGACGTCCAGACATCACTCAGCACAGACGCAGAACGGGAAGAGCTCGCCTTTCTCCTCTCATTTGCCACATACTGTAAACACTTCACATTGCCGGCCTCTGATCAGCATAAGGATGAAGGTGAGGAGGATGAGGATGACGGACACCTGATTTATAGTGATGAACGGTGACCCTTCCGGGCTCACTGCACGTCTACGGAACTAATAACGATCTGTATGGCATACTCAATGCCAGAGAGCCGATGTCTGCCTTTTATCCCCTCTTATTGTTGTAGAATGTTTTACAAACTCAATCAAAGAAATCAGCATAATAAATAACCTGAGATGATTGGCCCTCCAAGCTCACCATACACGTTGCAGTATGACCATACAATCTCCTTTAGGGCCCATGCACATTACAGCATTGCGTTAATCGCACCTTGCATGTGTTGCGGTTCATTTGAATGGCAACCCAACGCACCTCCCGGCCAGCGTCACAATGCCTGGTCCCGCCAGGGGTGTCCCTAGCCATCTCGGCATCTGAAGCATTGGTGGAGGCCAGTGTCCCGCCAAGTTCACCAAGGTCACTGGTTGCCAGGAGCTGGGCACGTCTCCCCTCCCGGCACTTAGCAACCTGGGACGCTCTGGTCGGAAAAGGGGCAGGCAGGCACACTGCAAACATTTTGGCCGCTTTTGGCATGGCCGCTCTGCCTGCACCCCCCCTCCCATTTAGCCCAAGGAGATACTGCATGAGGCAACAGCCTCACTATCAGGACAGCCCTGGGTAACGCTTTACTGTGCGTTGTGGTGCAGTGAAGAAGAAAAGAAGTGGTGCATGCACTTTTTTTTACCACAATGCCAAATTGGGTGCCATTCAAATGAATGGAAACGCAACGTACTTAGTGTACTGCAACACATGCAAGGTGTACTCTGCCATAGCGTGCTTTGGGGTTGCATGCAAATGACTGACAAAGCAACGAATGGTAATGCAAGCTAGGTGCACTATGTGATAGCGTGCGTCCAATGCTATGGTGTGACCGGGCCCTAAAGTTTGGTTTGGCTCTTTTTATTTGGCCACAGGCAGAAGTCAGACACCATCCCTGACATTCATAAAAAGTGGTGCAGGCCCTCTGTAGAAGAGTGTTGGCACCACAGTACAACAAATGTCAGCAAGTGCGACAGGTTCACCTGTATGTCAGAAGTATGTACATGACTGTGTTGCAAAGATGCGCCAGATTTCCCAGATTGTGCCGATTTTGCTGCATCTTTGCTAAGAGGCAGGCTGGCACCCGTCTGGGTCCTAGCCATCATTGATGCTGTGTTGCTAGGCTGCCAGTATCCTAGCAACCAGTGTCACTCAACCACACAGCTCCTTTGGTTTCTAGGATGCTCCTGGCCTTGCCACGCAGTGTCATGGGTTGCTAGGACGCAGTTGGGCCGGTTGCATAACATCATTGGTTGCTAGGACACAGACGGCCTAGCTGCACAGTGGAATTGATGGCTAGGACGTAGGCAGCCTGGTTGCCACCGGCCTACCAACCAATGACACTGAATAACCAAATCACGCCAAGATTAATTAGGTCTTATTTACCGCCAGTTATCTACAAAATGGCGGTATTTTTGGGGTGAATTTCATGTAGCCAATGCAACATAATGTAAAATTGTCACTAATAAGAACTACCTGAATTTGGCGCATGCGTCGCTAAGATCATCTGAACTGTCGCACGGCACTTATGGACATAGCGCAGGACTTCCAAAGACAGCCCTAAAATGAGAAAAGTACTGCAAAAGCTTTATTGATTCTCCACCATGTTTGTTTGTTTTTTCAGTGATTTAGGCTAAAGAGAGGCAGACTACGGTATAAAACACAATGCGGGGGATGTATCAAAACTTGAGCAGGCAGAATCTGGAGCAGTTGCCCATGTTAACCGATCAGCTTCTCCCTTCAGTTTCTTCAGAAAGAAGCTGTTTGCCATGGGTAGCTGCTCCAGATTCTGCCTGCTCCAGTTCTGATATATTTCCCCCCAATATCAAATATTTCCTGTCTGTTCTTGGAGACTGCAGTAGCATAACATTGTACTGATAGAGAATCCATGATGTATTGCCTAAATAACCAGCTTTCTGCATCCATGTGAATGAAGATTGCGGCACCTTCAGTCTAATTGAAAGGGGAATTATAAAATATAGACATTGATAGTGCTGTATATAATTGTTATTCACAGATATATTGTCACCGATGGGAAAACAACACCCTAAAAGCCACCACAGCCTCCCTTGCAGCATTTTGGCATCAGATTCGGGTGCCCATGTGAAGGGAATCTTTATAGTGAAGACTCTTAAAGGAGCAGAGAAGATGAAAGCATTGCTAGCAATTGGAAAAGGACAATGTAGGTGGTGAGGCCTTGCAGCACAGCTTCACCTTTCCTGGGGATCTCATCACAGTAGCAACTTCTATGCCATATAAGTAGGTCACTGGTCACTTTTCACATCAAACCACTCTTGAATTTAATTTCCATAAAATGAAAAAGGCCCCCAGTGTAGAGCACCATTATTTATAGGAGTACTGAAGTCCCAACATATACTATCCTGTTATTACATCAGCATTGTAATAGGAATACATACTAAAATCTCTTTTATGTAGTGAGTGCTGCCTTATAACTGCTCATCATGTTCAACAACGTGCTGGATTCCCAGTGTGCTTTGCATCTCTTTCCCTGCTGCTGGATATGATGTAATCTTGATTTCTCAAGACTACATATCCCATCATGCACTGCTATCAGCAAGCAATGATAATGTTACAGTGTTCAGATGTTGAGTTGTAGTTAAAGTGACATTAAAAGGCACATATTTTTTTCCACCCCCCTTTCCCCCAATGCTAATTTAAGGACTTACCTTAAATGATGCCTCCTTATCCGATCATCATCTTCTTTCCAGTAGTTTTCAGGAGTCCCTCTAGCGCTGGTGCTGGTCTCCGATCCATCGCTGACTCCTCACACTTCCTGGCACTTCCTGTCCCACGGAGTCGGTGCGGGTGCACGCTGCCTCCATTGACTTACCTTGCATCTCTCCTCGTCTCCCGGCTGTAGATCTGAACTGAGCATGCAACCACCCCATGATCCCTTGTGGCTGCCTGTGAATGTTCAGATCTTCGAACGGGAGCGCGCGGCAGAGACACGGGTTTAAACTCCTTTGTTAACTTTAAAAAAAAATGTTTTTACATATATCTACTGTTTGCTAGCAGTAGATACATGCAAAAATACGCTAGGGTTTAATAATCCTTTAAGACAACAGGCTTAGTTAGAGTGGTGACACAAGGAAGTGCATATTCACAGGACTGAGTGAACTTGTGTCAGTGCATTGAGGAAGCATATCCTATGAGCATCTTCAATAAGTAGGTTTACAAACTTCTACATGGATATTGTTATTAGGAGCGGGGTAGAACTTATAGAAATTCAATACAGAAATACATATTTAGTTTTAGTTTTTGACCAGAGATACCCTTTAAAATCCCATCCCGAAAGGAGCTCTCATGCCACTTTTTGAAAAGTGAGCCACCTCTCACGCCATTATCAGAACAGTTATTCCATTTCTCATTCTTGGCACGGATATGTCAATCACTTGCCTAGAAATTAATGTCTCTGCTCCACCCAGCTACTAACATTTGTGACAACAAGGAAAGGAGGTGCCCAGGCACAAGTCCTACTGTGTATGAAAAAAACACCTCATCACACACACAGGCACAGAGGTGACAATATCCAGTTGTCTAATGGAATCCACGTTCTAATATTCCACGTTAATCAAGTGCACATGGCGCTTCCTGTATTATAAATGGCACATGATGTCGGGTTGTGTTGTTCACATGATATGAACAGTGTGACAGATCATAGACTACACCCCCTGGCCAAATAAACAAGCCGCACACTCTAATATTTGATTGGACAGCTTTTAACTTTGATTATGGCACACATTTGCCGTGGCACTGTTTCGATAAGCTTATGCAATGGCACATTTTTTCTGGCCAGGAGTTGTATTCATTTTTCACCAAAGATCTTGTAGTGATGATGGGAGAGTCGGATCACTGAGTAAAGTCTTCTCCAGTACATCCCAAAGATTCTCAATGGGGTTAAGGTCTGGACTCTATGGTGGCCAATCCATGTGTGACAATGATGTCTCATGCTCCCTGAACCACTCTTTCACAATCTGAGCACGATGACTCCTGACATTGTCATCCTGGAATATGCCCGTGTAATTTAGGGAAGAAAAAATCCATTAATGGAAAAACCTGATCATTCAGTATATTCAGGTAGGCAGCTGACCTCATTTTTTGGGGACATTGCTGAATCTAGACCTGACCAACTGAAGCAACACCTGATCACAACACTGCCCAAAATCCAGGTGGTGATTTTTTCTTGGCCAGGCAGTGTATCATTACAGTGTATACCCCACTCTCAATCCCAGCATCTGTTAGAACTGTAAAGGCTGAAACACACCTTTGTAGTAATATGAGAAGGGAAGTCACCAGCACTCAACAAATGTGTGTTTAAGAGCAGGGTCCCTTCCTTAAAGCAATAGTGACCATGGGAGGCCCTGAAACCTCACAATGTTTGTTCTCATAAAGGTGTGTTTTTGCTTGATCTTCAGTCGGG